TATGACTGCAACTACACTACACTAATTACATTACACCACAACTACAACTCCACTACGCTACAACTACAACTACAATTGCAATACATCACACTACATCCAGCAATTGTGGGTGAGGTGACCACTGCAACCATTGCAACCATTCCAGCAAACGCAACTCCAACCACCTTTCGGTCAATCAATGGATTCGCTCTGCCATCCGTGATTCACAACAACGAACATCTCCTATAGGTTTCCTATTCTGAAACTTCCGCCACCGCCTTGTGCGGTACTACTGATATTTAAAATTATAATATTTAATAATTATTTAATATATAATTTTCGAATTATATATTTAAATAATATATTATATATATATTAATTTATATATATATATTTATAATATTATATATCTTTATATTTTAAATAATTCGAATATTATATATATATATATTTTTATATTTTATATTTTGTATTTTAAATTTTATATTTTATATTTATATTTATATATTAAAAGATATTTCGAAAAAATAAAGATATATATTTTTTTATATTATTATAAATTAGAATTATTTATTTTTAAATTATTATTTTAAGAAATATATTTCGCATTTCCATAAACTTATAAAAATATATATTTTGAACATTTAAAATATCATAAATAATAATTTATATAATAATTTATATATAATATTTATATCTTTAGATTTTTTAATTTATATATTTCATTAATATATTTTTTAAAATCATATTAAAACATATAAATGATTATATATATTATTCATACCCCCCAAAAATAACCTGGGGGGAATTGGGTGTCCCCATTTTGTAGTGCCAAAATTGACTTTTGGGACCCCAGACCTCTACAGAATGAGGAACCTGCCACAAATCTAGCAAGGGGTTTTCTCTGCAAAATCAGGGTACCCAACCCCTTTTTTTTGGTGCACATTTCTGATTTTCACAACCATTGGCCTCTATATTTAACAAAATTACTATTTGGAAGAAAGGAAACCGTCAAAAATACAAAGATCCATTTTGAAGAGGGATAATATGAAAGAGCCTTGGTCTCCCCGTCTCACCTGAAATTTTTGAAGCCTACAAAAATTCATTTTATAGAGATAATTTCTGTTCCACATTCCAAATTTTGTAAAAATAATATAATTTATCAATATTTGTATTGATAAATATTAACAATCCCCAAAACCTCTATAAAATAAGGAACCTATAATTTCCGCCATCTACAACATGCATCAAAATACTCCCACTACAAAATCAGGAACCTGTCCTTGCACGCCCTTGCAGATATTTAGGCTGTCAAAAAAATGGCTTGACGGACCTCTACAGAATGAGGAATCTGCCACAAATCTAGGGGGTTTTCTTTACAAAATCAGGGCACCCAATCCCTGTTTTTTGATACACTCTTATAATTTTCAGAAATTTTGGTCCCTACAAAATGGGGAACCTGGCATGACTAAATATTTAAGCAGAATTATTACTTGGAAAAAAATAATTGTCAAAAATACAAAGATTTATTTTAAAGAGGGATGATGGGAAAAAACCTTGGTCTCCCGGTCTCACCTGAAAACCCTGAAGTAAACAAAAATCCATTTTCTAGAGGTAATTCCTATTCCATATTTCCAGATTTTATAAAATCAATATAATTTATGTATATATATTTATATTTATGAATATTGACAAACCCAAAATTTCTATGAAATGAGGAATCCATAATTTCAGCCATCTACAACATGC